ATAGACATGATATAATAAAATTGATATACATATATAATATATATATATACATATATATAAATATATATACAATATGATATATATATATATATATATATATATATATATATAACATTATAATATATATATATATCTAGATATATTAGAAAAGTATATATATCTAATATATGATATACTATATATAATAATATATATATGATAACATTTATAATAGCTATATATTACATATATATTATTACTAATATCTATATATTACATATATTAAGATATAATATAGGATATTATATAGATACTATATATATATATATGATATATATATAGTTACATATATAGATTATATTAATAACATACGATTATAGTAGGAGATATATAGTAATAGATATATATAAGAAGATATATAGATCTTATATAGACTAGTATATATATAGCTGACTACTAGTAGAATACCGTGCAGATAGAGTACTTAAGACTATAGACTATATATATTACTAATACATATAAATTAGTATATCATATATTATTATATAGATCATATATTATATATAGACTGCAATATATAGTATATAGATATATCACTCCTAATACATATATAATAATATACTCATATATATATATTATATTATATACTGATATTCATACTAGTAGAGATACTCAATATATAGGATAATATATATGATAATAATATCTATATAGATATATAATATATATTGTGAGATATATATATATATGGTATATATATATATGAGGTATCGTATATATTATGAGGGTACTATATATATATGAGTGTATTTATGATATCTAATATATGAGTATCTATATATTATTATATATATATAGATGAGGTATATATATATATATATTATATAGGAGTATAGTATATAACATAATAAATCTATGAGTATATATATATATATATAATCTAGAGTATAGTATATAGATATATATATATATATATATAATATATATAAGTCTATATATAATAGTATATATATATATATATAATACAACAGGGTTCTGTCAGGCCCTGAGTGTCTGGGAAACCGACCCAAGATAGCCTCAGCAAACCCCAGGGCACACCATCCTCCTCAAGTCTGTCAGATGAAACACCTGGGTTGCTCTTTGGTCGACAGGGGGTATAAAGTGGACACGGCGATAGCCACAACACAATCTATGATCAGTTCACAGAATCGGCGCTTCGATATACCCTTGCAGTTCTGGAGGATCCTCCACCCGAGTGTGCTGACGAGGATCTGGCGATCTTGGCACCCTACCCGTATCGTGTACAAGCACGCGAATGCGGGGGGTCAGAAGCTCGAAACCGGAGCAGAGATCCTCAATTCTGCGGACCTAGCAAAAGTCACGGAAAAGGAGCATTCTCGCTGCCAGAATCAGCTCCGAAGCCAGGGGACCGAAAGACTCGGTAGCCAGGCTCATCACATCCGGATAAGCATTGAAGTCGCCCAAAACAATACGAATATCTTGCCGAGGACAATATATCCATCCATTAAATACATATATTCATATACAATACTATACATACAATATATATATATACATCGATGTATGACATACTCTTATATTATCCACCTCTTACTGACAACATGCGAACCTGTGCAGCTCAACAAAGTAAAGAGATATTATACATCCACCAAAGAGATGAAGAGAGGAGCACTACGATACATATATATCTAGTTATAGATAAGTCACCCCCGAGACAACTGCACGGAAATTATAAAACATATATATATTATATAGATATTAAGAGATATAGTATATAGAATAAGATTATATCATATATTATATAGATATTAAGACAGACACTGATATTCAACATATCCCAATATAGATATGTATACAATAGTCATACAAGAATAATAGATACATAATCCTATACAATATAGATATATATATACATATATTCATATACATATAATAAAATGGATATGCAATTAATATATTATATCTATATATATAATGATATAGCTATAGGCGTAATATATATATATAGATATATCAGATAAGTATTACATATTATATCGATACAGCTATAGATATACAGGTAATATAATATCATATAATATACATATAGAATCATACATATATATCGATACAAGATATAGTATCATATGAATATACATAGATAGCCATACAGAGATACATACTACAACTACATTATAATTTACTAGATTAATAATTATAATATATAATAATATATATATCTACCTTATATATATTATAATTAGATATAAGATATATATATATATTATATCTATATTATATATTATTATAATATATATATATATTCACATATATCGAAATATATTAGATATATCTTATAATAATTAATATATAAATACATAAAAACTTATATTATAATTATATATATATATATATATTATATATATATATATATAATATATATAGATATATATATATATATGTAATACAGTATATATTATAACATAATTTATATGTATCACATATAATGTATATACATATATGTGGTATATACATATACGTAAGACATAATTAGATAGATCAGATAGAAGAGAATAAATAGTATATATGAAAGATTATAATATATGATAGATATCTATAGGAATAGATAATATATATGAATAGATATATATATATAGGAATAGATATAATATATGAATAGATATATATATTATGAATAAATATATATAATATTATATAATTATATATTATATATAATATAATATATAATAATATGAATAAATAATATATATATATGAATGAATATATATATATGAATAAATAAGATATATATTATGAATGAATATATATATGAATGAATTATATCATAATATGAGAATATATCTATATATATATGAATGAAATATAATATATAGATGAAGAATATATATAATTATATATATATTATATATATATAATTATATATATATAGAGAAATATATATATATGAATGAAATTATATATTATATATATATGAATGAAATATACCAATATATTATGATGAAATATATATAATATATATATATATAAATATATATATATAATATATATAGATATAGATATATATATATCTATGAATATAAGAATGAATAATATGATATATATATAATATATATATATCTATATATATATATCATATTATATATATATATATAGAATGAAGTGAATATATATATATAATATATATATATCTATATATATTATATATATATATATATATATTATAACACTATATATATATATAATTAGTATGACTGACGTGAATATAATAATAATATATATATATATATATATATTAATATTAACTAATATCTATGCTATATATAGAATGAGTGACTATATATATATATATATAATATTATATCTTAGATAATATAGAATATATATATAGAATATATATATATGAATGAGTGAATATAATATATATTATATAATATATATATATATATATATATATACTATATCTATATATATATAGAGTTATATAGATATATTGCTGAGGAAATACATAGATATATATATATATAGATATAATTATATAGATATAATATAGATAATATTCACTAGGAATTAGATGCATATATATATAATATAGATAGATAGCACGTCATGATATATATATCTAATATATAATATAACTATATATATATATTCACGCAGAATTATATATAAGTATATAATATATATATATATAAGTCTGATATAGACTCAGATAGATATAGAGTGAGATTACTATATATATATATATATATATATATATATATATATAATATATATATATACATATATATACATATATTTATTCACTCATATATATATATATATATATATATATATATATATATATATATATATATATATATATATATATATATATATATGAGTGAATATATATATATATATATATGAGTGAATATATATATATATATATATATATATATATATATATATATATATATATATATATATATATATATATATATATATATATTATATATATATATATATAGTGAATATATATATATATATATATATATATATATATATATATATATATATATATATATATATATATATATATATATATATATATATTAGTAGCAATGTAGATGTAGGTAGTAAAATACTTCAATAAGAACATTTTATCTTATGCATAGAGACCTTTAATAAGCATTCATTATTTATTGCTTACAGTCTCAATGTGGACAATGTACTCAAATTCTTTTTTCCTAGAGGCACCCTATCATTTCATATTCATTCTCTTCATCTCTTTCCCTCACTTCTCTTTCTCCTTTTCAACATTTATTGGATCTCTTTACTGATCTTGGCTCTCTTAAAGCTATCAGGGAATCATAAATATTACCTGCTCCTTTGTCTTTCCATATAAATAAGCAACTTTGCTTATTTATATTTATTTTGATTATCACTTATGGCTTTTCTCAATGTAAAGTGAGGAATGAATCATTTGAATGATTCAAGATGAAATTTAAAGACAGCAAGGTTACTGGTACATTTTACATTTCATATAATCACTACAATTTTTTGTTTGTAATGTATCACTGCATATCACTCTAACCCATTTCCATCAGCACGTACTTTCCACAATAGTTTTTTGTGAACTATGTTGCAGACAGATGGCTCCTAGTCAACATGGAGTCAATGATAAGATCCTAGTGAATACACCTGATATCCCCATTTGTTGAATTTAACTTTTTTTATGTTATTAACCTGATGGTGTCTGGGATGGCATGTACACAACAAGTAAGCTACCAATGAGCCAATTGCAAGTCCTAATTATCTCACCAGTTTACCTTTTTCATTGCTGTTTGTAATATCAATAACAGTATAATAAGTATAATGTTTATAATAATAATAACAGCATTAGAAAAAAAAAAAAAAAAAAAAAAAAAAAAAAAAAAAAAAAAAAAAAAAAAAAAATATATATATATATATATATATATATATATATATATATATATATATATATATATATATATATATATATATATATATATCATGCAAACTCAAGGACAGGCGAAATCAGGTGATGTCACTTAATCTACTAGTTGACTCCTTTGTGAACAAGCAATTGTGGAGCCATCTATGTGCAGAACATCTTGCAAAACAATACTAGAGTGAACACTACATATTTCTGGTGAAGGTGGGTTAATATTGATTATTATATAATATAAATAATAGCAATAAAAAATTATTACAATTCTTTCAGAAAATCAAGGTGATATAGTTAGCACGTAATTTTGTATGTCATCCCAACAATATTTGAAGGCACATATGCCCAAAGGTGTTCTCAGACCATATGCATACACCACTAGTACCTATCATTTTGATCATGATTCGGTTTCTTGGAAGAAAAATCTTTGTTTCCTTGTATGTTTTTCCTTTCAATAAAGTGTCTATGCTTGTGTGCATTCTCCCTCTCAGTATTTCCTTGCTTCTTCTGCCCTTCTTCATGTAGGATATCCTTCATCTTTGCTAAAGCTTCAACATACATTTCCTCATAAGGCTCCAAATCATTGGTAGGGACTGTAAATTCTTTTGCATTCTGTCCACCATTTCTGAGTATACCTTTAAAGTCGCGCATCTATGGGAAAAGAATGCATTCAAAATTAATAAATCTCATGTTGAGCAAATTTCACAGTTACTATGGAATATTATATTTTTACAGTATGATAGGAAAAATTTGCATTAAAAAAAAAGAAAGAAAAAAGAAAACCTTGTCTAGAGTAACAAGTGAAACAGCTGTTCCTGGTCTTCCAGCTCTTGCAGTTCTTCCAATACGATGAATGTATGTAGTGTTGGATGTGACATCATAGCTGACTACATTGTCAACATTAGGTATATCCAATCCACGAGCCATAACATCACTGGCAACAAGGCTGGAAAAAAAATTACAGATAAAAACATATATATGAGCAAATTATTAATACTTCTATATGAACTTCACTTACAAAAAAATCTGATTACCCCAATCAGCAAGGATAGGAAGTTTACGTACCATACCCAAGATAATAAGTTCATTTATTGTATTTACACGTAGACGACTCTAAAGTGCATAGTCACCAAGGAATCAGTTATTAGTTCTACCTATCTCATCTGTACATGTGCATATATATATATATATATATATATATATATATATATATATATATATATATATATATATATATATGTGTGTGTGTGTATATATACGTATACATATACATATATACGTATACATATACATATATACATAAATATACATATACATATATACATAAATATACATATACAGATATACATAAATATACTATACATATATACATAAATATACATATACATATATACATAAATATACATATATATACATATATATATAGTATATAGATATATATATATATATATATATGTATATGTATATGTATATGTATATGTATAGTGGTATAGTACAGGATACATATACCAATATATACAGATACGAGTATATATAGATATAGATCTAGATAGATACTAAGACAGAGACAATACAGAGACAGATAGAGATCAAGAGATGAGAGAAATAGATATAGTCAGTATAGATCTAGTAGTAGATAAGAGAAGTGTAAGTATATATATATAGAAAGATATATATAATCTATAGAGTCAGATATATTAAATTATATATGATATATTATATAAGAAGAGATGATATAGTATTATATCGATATATAGATAGATAGCTAGAGGAGAGTAAAAGAGTAATATAGTAAAGAATTAGAGAGTAAATTATAATATAAAGAGATAGATATAGAGATAATATATATATGATATATATTAAGAGTATATTAATATGAGAGAGCGCGAGTATATAGAATAATAGACGATATACAAATATATAGAGAGATATATATAAATATTAGATATTATATAAAGAGAACCTATAGATAAAGATATTTAAGATATATTAAGATAGAGGAATATATGATTAAAGATATATAGTAAAGATATAATCTTAGATGATATATAGAGATATATATATATATAGGAGACAGAGCTAGATAAGAAGTAAGCTAGGCGCATACAGAGAGGAGATATAGAGAGAGGATAGATGATAGATGAGATAGAGAGATAGAGAATATATATATATAAATAGATAGTATAGTATTACATATACATAATATTAAATATTGATATAAAATTATAATTATATATAGATAAGATATATTAGTATATAATGATATATATATAAAATATATATATTAGAAAATGATGGACAGTAAATATAGTATAAGAATAGATATATATAAAATAAATATATATATATAAATGATATATAGATACAAATATATATATATAGATATAACATTTATATTATATATATAAATATAATATCTAAATAATTGATGAAATATATATTAGATTAGATACTATATTAGAATTATATATATATATATTCTATATAGGATATATATATAGTATATAATTATATACTATAAAGTATAGAAATATAGTATAATATAAATATATAATATAGTATATATTAAAATAAATATATATAGATCTATATATCTTATATATATATATATATATATTATAATATATAAATATATATTATATATATAGATATGTATAAGTACATGTATATATATATAATATAATATATGTATAAGTACATGTATATTATAGATATGTCAGTATTATATGTATTATAATATATATAATATATATATATATATATATATATATATATAATATGATATATACGAGATATAGAAAAAGATATGTATATAGTGACAGGTATATACATAGGTATACATATAACATATATACATATAACATACATTATGGATATATAGATAGCTATATATATATTAGATATATATATATATAAACTATATATAGTATATATGATGATCTATAGATTCTAGTACTTCTACCAATATATATATATATAGATAATAATATATATAAGATATATAGATATATTATATAGATATATATATATATATAATTATAAAAGTATTTATATTTATAGATCATAATATAAATTATTTGATTATGAAACTATTTATATAGATGGTGTTATTTTAAAACAGGAAATAGGATAATGTAAAATATTTGTTAAACGATGCCAAGGGTGAACGGAGCGAGAAAGTGGCAGGAATTCATAGAGGCCACTGGTGCCTTAGTTACAAGTATCGACATCTATGGGTAAAAAAAACAATCAAACAAGTGACTCACAGGGGCATGGCATGATGGTGTCTGATAGATAATATAATATAGATTATATAGGATATAGATATATATATAGATATATATATATAAAATTGGAGAGCAAATATAAGAGAGTACAAGATATATAGATAATAAGAGATGATCGATGAGAAGATATGATACATAATCTATATAGACAATAGCTAAGATACACCTATATAGAGAGAGACAGAGATAGAAAGATATACATATATAAGAGAGACTATATATAGAATATATAAATAGATATAAGAGAATTAGATAGAATATATTAAATAAGATATACAGATATATATAGATACATAGAGAGATAGAGATTATATGATATAGATATACTATATATACAGTTATATATATATAGATATAGAATATATATAGATAGATATAGAAGATACCATAGTAAATACAGATGATGAGATACAATGAATATATATAAATATGATATATACAGTTATAGAGATAATATACATATAATATATATATATATATAATCTATATATATATACATATATATAATATACAATTAGTTATATCATAAGTAGATAATAATAATATTAGATATTATAATGGCTAATATAAGATATAGGGTAAATATATGTCTTATAGTATATATGATATGTTATATATCTACTATGTAATATAGATATATAAATAAGAGATATAGATATAGATAATATAGATATCTAATATATAGATATATATATTATGTATATAGATATATGAGTTAGCATAGATATCGAGAGGTATATATGTATATATGAAAATATACATAGATATATATATATATAGACATATATATATATATATATTAGATATAGATATATATCTATATATTACAGTAATAAATATTGTCAGAATAGATATCATAGTTGGTATGATTAATAGATATAGACATTTATACATATATATTAATATTATATATATATCTATATATATAGTATATATCTATAATATATATATATATATATATTATAAATATATGGTATAGAATTTATATTGTATCTACAATTTTTATATTATATATGTATCATATAATATATATATATATATATATTATTATATATATGTAGATATATAATAAAAAAAATATAGGAATTATATACATATGTCAGATATATATAGACGCTATAGGTATAGGTTATAATATATATCTATCTATATAGATATATAATATGTATAGTATATATTTATAGATATAATATATATATATATAATATTATTTCTATATATACACCACATATATATGTGAGATATATATATTTATCTATAGATATATTACATATAGTATATAATATACATAGATGTATATATATAACATATTATGTATATATATATACATAATGATATTATATAAATTACATATAGTATGATATATATACATAAGGATATAGAGAATATACATAATGTATATATAGATAGACATTATGGAATATATATATACAGTAAATGGTATAGATAATAACATATAAGTATAGAGACATAGATGAGATATATACATAATATATATATATAGATAGATGTACATATTATATATATATATGTAAAGATATATAAGATAGAACTAGAGAGATGATAGACTATAGATATAGACATAAGATATATTATAGGTATATATATTAGATACAGAGTATATATAGAGAGATAGCCATCTATATATATATATATAGTACATATATAGATATATATATAGATAGAGAAGTACTATAGATATAGATATATCTATATAGATATCGATATAGATATATATAGAAGATGATCGATAGCATACATAATA